GGGTCATATATATATATACACAGGAGTACCAGGCTGCACCCGGGTCTCTTACATCTCCTTTTCCATGCTTCCCCCTCTTCACCCTATTTTCCCCTCCCTTGGTTCTCCACTTCGTCCTCCTCCTCTTCCTCCCACCCGTGCTTCCCACCTTTTCCCCTTCTCCCAAGAAATTTATTATAAATAACAAGTACTAACACATCTCTCTCAGACACTTTATTGTGAAATACTGTAAAATTCTATGGGAAACGTTAAGTATTTCCCACTTTATTCTGTAAAAATCGGATGGGACTCTATAAATGTTATTATTCCTTAAAATATTTAAGACAATCCGACCCTGATATAGCCTATGTCCGTTCTGTACCCCCAGGCCATTGGCTCTGCATAGTTGGGTGAGGCTAGCCCGAAGCGTCTGGCCTCCAACCTCGGACAGACATACATTCTTAAAGATATAGATAGTCTCTGTGTCACGGGAGTGAGATTGGGGGGATATAGGAGCAACCTCGAGAGGGTCAATAGACCTTCTGCACTTTACCGGTCAACTTATGCTCTTAAATACCAAATTCACTGTAATTATTTCCCTTTCATCTCTAGATACTTGTTGACCACATGAATACCTTCTCGTGTATGTATTGTTCTTAAATATCTTTGGCCATATTGCATGTGCCAACAACATTTTGCCATATTAGATGTGCCAACAACATTGAGACATTTATGTGGCAACTGCATTGAGCCATATTCTATGTTGCAACTGCATTTACCCACATTTTAAGTACCAACAGCATTGAGCCATATTGCATGTGATAACAGCATTGACCCACATTGTATGCGCCAACAACTGTAGTGTCAATTTCACTTGTTGGGCAAACTTAGGCTATGCATTTTTCCTTAGATTTGTTGACCATTCTGATTTCTCTTAAAGTCAGAAAAAATAATTTCCTAACAGCAGTTGTAGTAGTTGAAACATAGCTATTGTATATGTGTCAAGATGGCTGCCTTGTTGATGTCCTCTTTAAGACTGTGATGGGTGATTATTGGTTATGTTTTTGTCAAGATGGCTGCCTTGTTGATGTCCTCTTTAAGACTGTGATGGGTGATTGTTGTTTGTTTTTGTCAAGATGGCTGCCTTGTTGATGTCCTCTTTAAGACTGTGATGGGTGATTATTGTTTGTTTTTGTCAAGATGGCTGCCTTGTTGATGTCCTCTTTAAGACTGTGATGGGTGATTGTTGTTTGTTTTTGTCAAGATGGCTGTCTTGTTTGGCTTTTTACAACATTGGTGTTTATCTGTTATTTCTTCCCTAATTTTTTGTCTCAATATTTTACCTGGGTGTAAAGCTTATTTGTTAATTTGTTTAGTAATGTAATGGGGGGGGGGGATAAATAGATATATTTGGAGGACGAACCAATAATGTTGCAAAACTATAGGAAATCCTCAAGAAAATATAATTCCCAAAAATATATTTATTCCCCTTGTATCACAACATTACCGGAACAAAATTATGGGATCTCACTTCTCAGACTTTAGTTTTGACATTGGCCAAGACTTTTATTTGCTGCCACTAGTGCACGCCGGACCAGACTTGCTGGGCCAGACTTGAGACATTTACATGTTACCAGACTTCCGATTTCAACATCTTCATGTAGTGGAGATGTTTACCACCAAGACTTGCATCCAGGATGCTACGGAAAACTGCACAATCTTCTTTGGGATCAGATATATATTTTTTTGGAAAGATTGAACTATTCTCAAGATTTTCCTTGTCCTCAGTTGTGAAGTTCACCAAGTTCATTAACATTGTTCGCCGCAGTTGTTCAGCCACATTGTTCATTGCTTTTCCGTAATGATTGTTTTATAAATCAGTGACAAAATTGTGCTTCTAAATCTAAAAAAAATATTGTATGAATGTCATGATTACGTATTGTGGTGTTGAAATGCCTTTTATCTTATTTTACACAACATTACAATACAGTATATTGTTTACTTGACTCGGTTATAAATATAAAAACATTTATTTTAAAAATAAAAGTTTTTACGTGGTCTACTTTTTAACAGACAACGAAGGAAACATTAAGACAGGTAATTCCTGTCTTAATCCTTCCTTCGTGGTCTGACACTGTCACAGTGATCATCACGTGTTAATTTCTTCATGATTTACACACATATAAAACATGTATGAAAGATTATTTAATTTTCATGTATAAATGCTGGAATTTATTCCTCTGTGACCTCTCAGACCACAACCGGAGTGCTGCACTTTATCCCGCTCTTGAAACATCACCCTTGACTATGGGACTTTTTTCAATTCCGACAGAGAACGCCAAGAGCGAAATAATTTTTACCTGTATGCTTTTGGTATGAGAGGCTTCGCGGTTAAATTTTTGTATTAACGTTTAAGGTGATTGGCCTGAACGGCAGTAAGATCAAAAAGTCTGGCATTACTTAGATGTTGGTCGCACTGTGAAGTCTCTATTTAATTTTTACTTTTAACTTACATACTTAGGGTACGTTTCATCTTTTGTGCTCTAATAGATAAGACATTTCGTAATTTTTTTTTATCAGATTTGTATTCCTTTAAACATTTTAGAAACGAGGATGTCTGCGGAGGTGGCAACTTGGTCAGTGTTGAGATGTTGCTGGTGACTGAATACCAACACTTGTGATAAGACTTATTACACTCAGATTATAAAACTCCCTATTTACATTGTTTCCGTCCATACGTCTCTCTTGCACTGTGTTTAATGGTGGTTGTTGCTCGGGATGTTCCCTTCAGTTGGTCGCCAGTTGTGTCTGGTAAGTTATACTTTGATCATAATGAGTTCCTTCACTTCAACACTTGCAGCTTGTGAGAGGTTCCATATTTGGTTAATACCACCTTCACCACTTATTGCTACACAGTCTTATGCCATCATCACTACTCACTATAAGCCTCTACTGGTTGCATGCAAGCTCTCTTCCTGTAATGAAGAAAAAAGCCATATAACACATGCACATGCATTTTATAAAACTATGACACATGTGCAATGGAGATAATGCAGTTCATGTGTCCAAAAATTAAAATAAAATAATAATAATAATAATAATAATAATAATAATAATAATAATAATAATAATAAAGAAATCCACAGGCATGTTTCCAGACGCGCTCTAGTACGATCAATGGTACAGTTAACTAGAGCGCGTCTGGGAACACTCAGTGCAGAGGTTCGAACCCTCATCAAAGCTACTGTGGATTTGTTCTTTGATATATCACGTTAATGTGATGTATCTGTATAATAATAATAATAATAATAATAATAATAATAATAATAACTGCATGCCACTGGTCTGCTCTGTATCCTTTACCTGTTACTCTCGGCTACACATCTTACATATTCATAAGTCCTTAACCCTGAAAACAACTGAATTAAATTACACTGTAATTATTGAAATGATAGATTATTGCAGTTGTAGATATCTTTATTTACTGCTCTCAAAAGTTCATAAGAGGAACTAGGTTATATTCACTGTCACTTCCTCACTGTTTATGGATATATCAAAGTACTTCTTGCAGAGAATAAGTCACAGTAGCGTGCTTGAGAACCAATAACCCAACCCAAAGATACATCGTCTTACCGAAAAATGCGTATAAGCGTTTTTAGCAGCCTAAGGTTTAACACATACTTGACCTAGTCACAATAATGGGAATTTCTCATTAATTCAATATAGGAAACCAGTTGTTTATTCAATACAAAATTTGTTCAGTCAGTGGTGGGGTGACGCTAGTTAATAGATGTTATAGTTCTTTTAGGGAATACGTCAAGACAGGTTTTGTAATGGTATATGAAATGAACTCGTGCGTCTTTATAACGCGTATCCCGATTAGAGGTTAATCTGAAGTGAAAACTGCCTGCTCCCTGTGGACTACGTGTTGATCTGAGCTATACTGACATAATACTCCCTGCTCCCTGTGGACTACGTGTTGATCTGAGCTATACTGACATAATACTCCCTGCTCCCTGTGGACTACGTGTTGATCTGAGCTATACTGACATAATACTCCCTGCTCCCTGTGCTACTACTGCCTACCTCCGGGCAGCTGTCACCATAAATGAAGAGCAGCATGACCCTCCTGCCTCACGCAGTCAGGTTACAAGCCTTGTGTACCTGGCCACTATTATTGTAAGTGAAAGGAAACACACTGAGCTTGAAAAAAATATATTGCAGAGGCCAATTAAATGTTAATGGTTGTAATTTTTACTGTTGAATAGGCTTATTGTTCTTGTGTTAACCTACTTACTTGTAAGTCCAGTTTTCCCGACTCAACTAACCCAAATATCAAATGATAAGGGATGATAATGATCATTATTGACAGTCATTATAACATGCAACTGTGAATGTATGTCAATAATTTGGTCATTATAGCTGGAACATTTACCAGTGTCCACATCATCATCCATCACGGTCTCTAGTTGTCACAACGTCACAAAAATGATGTACCAAATTGGCGGAACCTAACCTAAACGGGACAGCCCGTCAGTTTTGCGAGCCGCTGTGATTTATAGTACATCATATTTTGGTCGTTGGGGAGTTAGAGGTCAAAATGCGATGTACTATTCGAGAGGACGAAATACATCGACATAGGTTGTGGTAGACAGATGGCCCAAACCCCCACCAACACGAGCTCAAGACCCCCCCACCCCCACCCCCCCTCTCACTCACACAATGGTCAAGAACCCCCCCCCCCCCCGACTCTCACAAGGATCAAGACTGTCTTCCCTCCCTCATCATAGTTCATGGCGACCTTCGACCCACACAAGTGCTAAGACGGCCTTAAACACCCCCCCCCCCCCTCCCCTCCCCTACAATATGGCTGAAACGCCCGTCTCGCCTCACAGTACAACTCAAGACGGCCCACACACGTAGGGTTGAAGGCAGCCGTTCCCTCCCCCCTCCCGCAAGTAGGGCTCAACACAGCTCTCTAACACCACAAGAACTCACGCCGGGCTCAATAAAACAACGTATTTACTTTTCTATTTTGTATTAGGTTTTCAGTCAACAATTTCCATTGATTTGCGTACAACATTAGATTTCTTTGAAGGTAAATAAATAATTTTAAACTAATAGAAACATTGTTCTGCACTTGAGGGAGCTTAGATGGCAGCGTAGGTGCCGGCAAGAGGCAGCACCTCAGTGCCTCCATTTACCGTGAGTGTAAATGTCTATTAAAAAACAATTTGTACACACCTTTTATTTTACACTCGGCATAGTGTTTTTGGGGAGGTTTTCGTTTTTTATAAACGTAAGTTGCACCTTTTTTTTTTTCCTTTTTTTTTGGTCGCCCTAAAAACATATTACACGTGAAAAATATGAAAGGTTAATGAAGAGGTAAATGCCATCATCCCAACTTGCATTTTTGAGTCGCTTGAAAAGCCTAAACTTGCCCGTCATCAACAGCATCGTGTATACATGTGGGACCCCTCTCACCACAGTCAGGAGAAGCTCGTAGAAAACAGAGCGTGTAGAGTACTTAGTTTATTGTGTAGACCTTGGCTGAGTCATGTGCTGGACACATGACAGAAATGTTAGTGAAGATTCAAGAAGATGACAAAAATGTTAGTGAAGATCGACGGAGGTGACGGAAGTGTTAGCGAAGATCGACGAAGATGACGAAAGTGTTAGCGAAGATCGACGAAGATGACGAAAGTGTTAGCGAAGATCGATGGAGATGATGGAAGTGTTAGCGAAGATCGACGAAGATGACGGAAGTGTTAGCGAAGATCGACGAAGATGACGAAAGTGTTAGCGAAGATCGACGGAGATGATGGAAGTGTTAGCGAAGATCGATGGAGATGACGGAAGTGTTAGCGAAGATCGAAGGAGATGACGGAAGTGTTAGCGAAGATCGAAGGAGATGACGGAAGTGTTAGCGAAGATCGAAGGAGATGACGGAAGTGTTAGCGAAGATTGAAGGAGATGACGGAAGTATTAGCGAAGATCGACGGAGATGACGGAAGTGTTAGCGAAGATCGCCGAAGATGATGAAAGTGTTAGCGAAGATCGCCGAAGATGACGGAAGTGTTAGCAAAGATCGCCGAAGATGACGGAAGTGTTAGCGAAGATCGACGGAGATGACGGAAGTGTTAGCGAAGATCGACGGAGATGACGGAAGTGTTAGCGAAGATCGACGGAGATGACGGAAGTGTTAACAAAGAACGACGGAGATGACGGAAGTGTTAGCGAAGATCGCCGGAGATGACGAAAGTGTTAGCGAAGATCGCCGAAGATGACGGAAGTGTTAGCGAAGATCGCCGAAGATGACGGAAGTGTTAGCAAAGATCGCCGAAGATGACGGAAGTGTTAGCAAAGATCGCCGAAGATGACGGAAGTGTTAGCGAAGATCGCCGGAGATGACGGAAGTGTTAGCGAAGATCGACGAGCACATATATTATTGGTGTTATCATCATATATATATATATATATTTGTGTTCAATATGTACACATGGTCTTGCACCCTACTCCAAACCATACATGGAATATTAGAAACATATACAAGCTTTAGCAAGCTATTGAAGCTTACCCATGCATACGGAGACAGCCATGGTTACACACACACACACACACACACACACACAGACACACACAAACACACACACACACACACACACACACACACACACACACACACACACACACACACACACACACACGTCATGTATATTCACGACCCCACACCTAAACAATGATCTGTACACTACTAATGTTAAAGAGCAACAGAACTATTTAAGGCAACAACAGAGGCGACAGATACACAGGCACTGTGTGGTGCGTACATGTCACATCATCCACGTACACACACGCACACACACATTTAATGGCACGCACACTCACATTTACTCGTGTTACAAGCTCAAGTAATCTGAGAGGCATTATCTATCCATAACATAGAAAACGGTATCTATCTCTTGATTACTCTACTTTTCCATCTAAGATTTAGACATGAATATCAATTACAAGAAGTACGTGCGCAGCACAGGATGTGTACTGCACTCTTATGTCAGACAGGATAACGCTTACACACACACAAACACACACACACACACACACACACACACACACACACACACACACACACACACACACACACACACACACACACACACACACACTCACACATACACTTTCTCTTGCCCTTTCTCTCTTTCCATTGGACCAATAGGTCTTTGTTATCTGTTTCCCCATGTACTCTGAGCGTGCACTAGCGAGCCAGGCAGGCCTAGCACATACACTTAGGCTTATAATTGAGATTAACCCTAGAGGTAAGTTACGGTGATGGTCGAGGCCGGGCTATTCCCCGTAAACATTGTAGGATGAGAGCGAGGGCTGCATCTGGATGTCGTCAATAGACACCAGCTTCTCCAGGGGCACCAGTGCCATCTCTCCTTGGATTTCTCTTGATCCCATCAGCGCCGCATAGTCGTCACGGACAACTCTCTTCTTCTTCTCTGGTTTTGTGCTGCGTTTAAAAACGTACGACAAACTCTGCGCACGCTTCAAGAATTTCATGGGCGGTTTCCTTCGAACCAATGGTTCCTTGGGCTCCTCGGCAACAGGTTTAGGCGGCGGGAGCTCTGCCTGAGGAGTTGGAGGGGCGTGGGTTGGTCGCTTGGGTTCTTCGATGGGAGGTGTGGGTGTCCGACTGGACGTGCTGTTCTCAGGGGTGCCCTCCTCACTGATGTGTCCTGTGGAGTCATCAGTGTAGCGTCCGTGCCCCGAGGGATCCGACACGCACTCCACTGACCTTGTAATTTGAGCATATTGGCCTCCGTGAGTGTGGTCTGGCTTCTCCAGGAGTCGTGACCTGGTCTTCATCTGTGCAATAACACTTTCACTCTCAGGTGAAAACCGAAATAATCTGTTCTTTTTATCAATAGTTGCTGGAGCTGAAAGCATTGGCAGGCTATCAAACTGCTTCGTCACTAAATCATCTTCAGAATCGTTAGACTCATTACTCGCTTGATTCACTATTCTGGCGATGCGCGGAACACGGTGGTGGACTCGTTCGCAAGCAGAGATGCTGCGTCCCAGACGTACGATGGGTCGTATTCTCGCTTCCTCCAGCTCACGGTACCTCATCTCGTCCCTCTTCTCGTCGTACTCCCCCATCTCAACCGTCCCTTCGCTGAGACTCCCTCTCTGACTGCTGGACTCGGCCGGAGAAAGGACCTCATCTTCGTCTATGGTACTGGTAGGCGATGTTCTGAAGGACCTCCGCCTGCAATACATAATGTCCGTCTGGGCACTTCGATCCACATACTCAGTTGACGTTATCGAATGCCCAAACCTGCTGGGGTTAAGACAGAATGGCATTATAGTGACTTCAATAATCAGACAAAGATGAATGTCAAGGGTTCTCAGGGGGTAAGGAGGCCTGGGAGTCTTGAAGTAAAGAAAAAAGTAAGAGTAAAAAAAAATTGTCTCGATTCTTACCAAACCCATCCCTAAGCAATAGTGCTGAAGGCTAGGCCGTGACAAACCACGCGTCTTACCTAGGGGAAGAAGGTTGGGAGTCCTCGCGAGTAGGGGGCGAGTTGGAGGTGGAGAAACGACGCAGAGCTTCCCGCCGCTGGAACTCTACCTTGGCCATCTCCGTAGCGATCCACTCAGGGATGTCCGGGATAGCGTAGCTGATGCCGTACTTGAGCGCAATCATGGCGTGCTGAAATAATTCATACCCTCGTTATGGCCGGAGGGGAGTGGCTGGAATATTTATGATTTGGGTTAACAAGAAGATATTATATAGTGGGTGTGTGAGAGGTGTCGGGGAAGGTGGGGGTTAGACGCACCTCAAGGACAATGATGAGCAGAACAGTGTGTGCGGTGGACATCTCTGGAAACATGCGGTGCACCTGGCCCGACAGACCTATCAGCATGCAGTTGACCATGATCCCCAGCACGCCCATCAGCTCCATGGCGTCCTGTGAGAGAAGACGCTCTCATCAACCAGTGAATCACAAGCCTCATTTCTCGGAAACAAAATTATTTCGATCTGAATTAACTTTTAAAAACGTAGTTCTTGGTGTTGGTTATTTCGTCTAGACGATGAGAGTGTAGGACGCTCTCTGATGGAGTAGCCACCAGGGCCACAGAAGTGAAAGAGGATCTCAAATTCTCGTACATTTTGTTTTTTTTTATTTACCACAAATAATGCTAAATAGTTTCCACCCCATTTCGAATAAGGCAGAAAGGTAAGCATCTTAACTCTTGCTTAATTAAAATTAAAATAAATGCAAAATAATTATAATTATGTTGGGAAAGGTTTAGAATCACTGATATTGCACCAACCAGTACCCACCTGCCCGCCCTACACCAGCCAGAACCCACTCGTTCCACATCAGCCAGTACCCACTCGTTCCACATCAGCCAGTACCCACTCGTTCCACATCAGCCAGTACCCACTCGTTCCACATCAGCCAGTACCCACTCGTTCCACATCAGCCAGTACCCACTCGTTCCACATCAGCCAGTACCCACTCGTTCCACATCACCCAGTACCCACCTGCCACACACCGATGCTCTGGGCACGGTTGCCGAAGGGTCTTTGGAAGACGCAACAGAGCTTGAAGGCGTCGGACCGGATCTCGATGAGGTTGTTGAGGAAGGCGCACATGGCGGCGAGCGGGAAGGCCGAAGAGAAGAGGGTGACGTAGCCGAACTGAATGAACATCTCCAGGTAGTCCTCAAAGGTCCCCTCGTACTGCAATGACACATTCAGATTACTAATGAAGAGATGTGTTTGATACCTCTGATATATATATATATATATATATATATATAAATATGTAATATAATGCTTCGATGATGTCCACTCTTCTGTTGTCACTGTATGTGTCGATTATTTTGGTGTTGTTTGTGAGTATATCTCTGGTGATGGTCTGGTTGTGTATAGAGATTATATGTGCTTTTGTAGGACCTTGCTGCTTGTGCATTGTTAGGCGTCTTGAAAGGGGTGTTCTTGTCTTGCCTATATATATTGAATTCGTTGGGGCTGACAGTCCCCAAGTGGGCATGTGAAGGCATAGACGATATTTGTCTCTTTCAAGGGGTTTGGTCTGGCGTCAGGTGAGTTCATCATAAGCAAGAAGACGAGTGAGGTATCAGGTGAATTTATAACGTCATGAAATGATTAATGTTTAAGAATGAAACAAATTTAGTAACTTAGAAGCGTTATCTGCGAACTTTGTCTAATTTCCACTGTGATTTGAGGTGACACGAGAGAGGAAGATGACACACAACCTTCCAGAAGTGGTCGACACGACCGCATGCGTCACTACAATGTTATGGAGAACAATGTACGACAAAGAGCCACTTTAAATAATTGTGGTGCTGTAACCTTGTCAAGACTGATGGAGGACGACTTACTCTGGACATGTTACACTCCACTTCTGCCTGGCTGACGATGCGGTTCTTACTGCCTCCGCGGGAGAGGAAAGGGTCGCCGCTTCCCGCTGCATCTCCACCTGGCGCCGGCGAGTCTCTGCTGCTGTTGGCGCTGCTGGGGCACAAGGGGATCCCTCCCTCCTCCGGTATCTGCAACAATACAAGTTGTCACCATCAGCTGCGTAAGGTAGTGGGCGCCGGACATCTGAGCTTTAATAGCTGTGGCACCTTAGTGCCCAGAAGTATATGTGGTACTTCTGTCTCCTGCCAATATTAGAGTAAGGAAGTGCACCGCTCTTCCATAATGGAGTGTACAGGGTGTTCAGAAAGTCTCCAACCATCATGTGGTATACAGGGTGTTCCAGAGGTCTCAAACTACAGGGCAACATTATGAAACTGACTTATTTTGTATTATTTTATTTTATACACAGAATGTGATTAATGTGTCCACCATTATGAATGATTCAGAAACGCAGAGGAACAATCTGTAAACACGCGGAGAATTGGGTGAAGTGTGATAGTTCCAGATTTGAGGGACATTGTTCCAGACCTATGGGACACCCTGTACTGTATACACGTAGTGAACCTTACACAGAAGAAAACACAGCTCTCAAGGTCAGGGTGTCGGGAGAACACCAGACTGATGAAAATACATATTCAGGGTGTGGAATATATGAGCAAACACTTGATATATAGTAATACAAGGGCTTAGGGGAGGTGCCGGTGTCGTATTTCACAGGTGGTAGCCACCAGGGCCACAGGTGGTAGCCACCAGGGCCACAGGTGGTAGCCACCAGGGCCACAGGTGGTAGCCACCAGGGCCAGAGGTGGTAGCCACCAGGGCCACAGGTGGTAGCCACCAGGGCCACAGGTGGTAGCCACCAGGGACTGAAGTACCTGTGTTTCTCCTGCAGGTTGGGGCGGGTTCTCCTGTGGCCAGTCCTGGTGCTTGATCTCCTCCGAGGGGGAGAGGGCGCCGTACAAGTCGAAACTGAGCTTAGCCAACTTGAACTGCTCGAGCAGGTAGGGGATGCAGGACTCCTTGATGTTCCCCACCACCTGCCGCGTCAGCAACAGCGCCGCCAGTTGCTGGGGGAGTAGCGAAAAATAGGGATTTGTCTATCGGTTACTAAAAAAATCTCCCACCTTCTTTTAGGGAAATTAGAAGGAAACACATGGTATAAAAACACCAGAAGAGGTGGATGTTGATACAAAAAAATGACGAATCGGGTTGGATCAAGAAATTGTTTACAAATCAGTGATGTGATTTAATTTCTTGTAGAAATTATAGTGCTTATTAGGAGACATGACAGGGTTTTAAAACTTGAAATCAAAATGAAAGCAGATTTTCATTCATTGAAGGAAAGGATGGCCTTCAGTCCGTGGGTGAGAATATTGCCCCGTGGACATGAATATTGTCCTGTGGACCAGAATGTCTATGATTTTATTTGCTTTATATTTTAAACAGCAAAGCTGTGTTAAAAATAAATTGCCGAAGCTCTACAAGAGAGGTTATCCAGTCTGGCACCTTGTCAGACGGCACCCGGCACTCAGATTGGATAAAACACATGTATATTGAGTGTTGATTGGCCAATTGCATGCTTGTATAACCTTAATCTATGCAATAAGTCTGTCGTTACACCGTGGGGCAATGCCCCAAATTTCAGTAAGTTTTGATTAGTCTTTCAGCAACTGAATCTTGTCAATACTATCTGGGCATGCATTCATTGAAGGTCAGTCAATGCTTGATTGAATATGTTCAAATAAATTTAATATATATGTATTTGTATAATTGATCATATACATTACGTTAACCATAGTTAACTAAGTTATTTTTATTTTATATAAGTTTATCATATTTAATATAAATTCTTTTACCTAGATACCAGTACTTGGATCAAATTTAAGGTCCTTTAATTGCATATTTACATATATCATACCTCTATAATACAAATTGTTGTGTTTATTAGTATGTGAATATTGGTTGGTGTAATTATAGAGCTAGGCTGGACTATGTACATGTTTGGATCCTTGATTTAAACAGAATCAGTGTTCAGTTACTAAACTGAGTTATTTAATCATATCCTTATATAAACAATACAAGCTGATGTGTTGAATTGTCTGCAGGTGGATTGTAGATCTCCAGTCAACTTTTCCATTCATCCTTAAGGACCCACCTGCCCCTTACAGCCCACAGCTGTCATTAGGGCTAAAGGATCTAGGATTTACAACCCTAGCTAAGGACTTTAGTTGTATTAATTTTGCATACAATATTTTTTAATTTAGTACAGTACAAGTCCTAAGTAGTTCTTCTCATATATTAATCCCGGCAATTTTACCACAGCATTAGGATATGTGAAGTGCAGCATTAGGATATGTGGAGTGCAGTCTGTGATGCTAATTGTGTTGACACATGATATATGATTATGTGATATGTCTTGTTAGAGTTATTTCTTTTTAGTGATTATCAGAGTAATACTGTTTGTAGATCTTAAAACGAGCGAATTAAAGCAACATAAGAATTCTCGACTCGGGGTAGTGGTGGAGAAGCCTATTGGAGATACAACTAATCGTTTCTTGTTGTTCAGTATTTTGCGAAGCTACTTCTTTATTATTTGTTTTGCTGTTTCTTAGCTGTATTGTATTTATATATGAGAGTAAGCTTAATTTATGTTGCTATCTGGCCGTGCATTGAGCTGATTTTGCATAACCTGGTGCAGGTCTTTCTGTAGCCCGCCCTCGTAAGGTTTCCTAACGTCAAAAGTAATAAAGTGGCGTAATAAAGTGCACTTATCGTAACCTACCAGAGGACCCACCAACAAAACTGGAGTGTGTGTCAATTTCGTGTCGGATACCAGTCAGTGGCGGGTGCATTAGGCTGTAGAACAGGTGAGCTGCAGGAACTCCACTACTTAGGAGGGTGACCCGAGGGCTGGTACCTGTGTAGAGGTACTGGCGGTCTCTATGGTGGTGATGCTAACTTGACACACACCTCACAAGGATGGTGCATAAAGTCTTGTCACCACGGGACGAGTGATACAGTGTGTCTTGTCACCACAGGACGAGTGATAAACTGTGTCTTGAGTGACGTGGTGTTGAGGGCCGAGGACCAGAGTGTGGGAGGTTGGGCAGCAGCAGGAGGCCCCTGAGGGTATACTGTCAGAGAGGATGTATCCACCGAGCGGTGAACCTTGCAGTTGACTTTGGTCTTCAACCCTATACCATGCCAAACGTTGGCTCCCTTGTGCAGTTTACCCCATGTTCATAAATACTGGTCAAAATTTGTCTTTACTAAATTATATCATTTGCATTCCCGAAGAGTTCAGGCTTAAACCAAGATAAATTTGAACTGTTACTTGTAGTCGATTAATATTGTTCTTTCGCAGCCTTATCTGGGGTCCGCCTGGGGCCAGCCAGGGACCAGCCAGGGGCTAGCCAGGGGCCAGCCTGGGGCCAGCCTGGGGCTAGCCAGGGGCCAGCCTGGGGCCAGCCAGGGGCCAGCCAGGGACCAGTCAAGGGCCTCCCTAGGGCCAGCCAGGGGCCACCCTAGGGCCAGCCAGGGACCAGCCAGGGACCAGCCAGGGGGCCAGTCTTCTATGTTGACTGCTTAGCTTTGAGGCTGTTACCATACCATGGCTTTGGTTATCAGTCTTATGACACCACAGTCATTCTTAATGTTAATGCAACAACACGAAACATGACACTACATAAAGCATCAGAAGTATTGAAACAGTTTTTTTGGACGCCAAATGGAACGCAAATTTCAATAATGCAGCCGCTCTATATATTCAGTGAAGTTTGAGAAACATTAACTTTTTTTTGGAATTACATTACACAAACTTAAAATTATATATGGAAGTGCACAACTCATCACAAATGCTCCCCAAAATCTAAATATGAAGGGAAAAGCAAGAAATAGAAGAGTGTGTTGTTGTTGAAGCCTCACCTCCTTGAGACGTTCCATGTCCTGGAGGTAGAAGGCGATGTAGAAGAGCGACAGGAAGGAGTTGACGAAGCGGAACTGCAACACAAGGTTAACAATCAGTGCCGTCATCCTAGTCACTCTTAACCTGTATTTGTTTAGTTCATAGTCTTAGTTACACAGTTTTGAAGCGCTGATGTTGGTACATGAAGCATATAGGAGGAGGGATGATGAGAGACTCACCACAGACAGCTTGATGATCAGGTGGTTCTGGTACGTCTCCTCAGTCCGGTAATTCTCTGTAGGGGGAAGATATATAGTAGTAGTAGTAGGCATCCATCAGTCTCAGGAGATTATGGAATTGCGCTCTGGTTGTCGGTCTGGAGTGGCCCCACCAGGGCGCAAAGCCTGGGTAGGTTGATTCGGGGTACATATATATATATATATATATATATATATATATATATATTATATATATATATATATATATATATATATATATATATATATATATATATATATATATATATATATATATATATATATATCTTAATCTTAGTATTTACTTGGGTTTTATTAACATGTTAAGCTCGCCTGAATGTACTTTCCATATTTGTCAAAAGTTCTAACGATAGCTTCATAAGTTACATGCTATATATATTTATTAATCATATACTTGTTTAATATATACAACCCTAAATTCACAAAAGCTCAAATATAACACTACAGTCCTGTGAAGAGCCTCGAACAGTTGAACCTGGACACAACACTTGCGACACTCACCACGGGACCTTAGATACAGGAGACACAAGACCCGCGGGTTACAACAGCTCACTACAGCCGTGGTCCAGTGTTGAGACAATGAAAGTGCCGTGTTCAGCACCTGGACTCAAATATCCATACTGTATGTCATACATTTATCAGTTATAATCTGCTTGAAGATGCCCATTAGGACTTCAATTTTGTTTTTATGATGATGAGGACGAGGCGGTGTAGTTACAGGACAGACGACTAGGTAGGTCGTCTGGGTATGGAACGACCAGGTAGATCAGCCGGGTTGTGGTGGGTATGTGGGTCTGCGGGCCGCTCCAAGCAACAGCCTCGTGGACCAAACTCTCACAAGTCAAGCCTAGCCTCGGGCTGGGCTTGGGGAGTAGAACAATTCCCAGAACCCCATCAAGCAGGTATCAACCAGGTAAGTAGTGTCAAGGTGTGTGAACTAGGAATGTGCTGGATGGTTGCTGACGATCCCGGGTTATTGGAAACAAACAAGCTTCATGTTATTATTTTTGTTTCTGACTTGTAAGTGGTTACGAATTAAGTATGATGCTCTGTTCAAGCCTAGACTTCAAGTTTGGAGAGATCTGTGCGATGTGCAGGGAAGGAGGAGTCGGTAGGACCTACACATATCACTGAGGCAGACACCCACCTTGGTGGGGGAGGAGATGGAACCTACCCATATCATTGAGGCAGACAGCCACCTTGGTGGGGGGGAGGAGATGGAACCTACCCATATCATTGAGGCAGACAGCCACCTTGGTGGGGGGAGGAGATGGAACCTACCCATATCATTGAGGCAGACAGCCACCTTGGTGGGGGGAGGAGATGGAACCTACCCATATCATTGAGGCAGACAGCCACCTTGGTGGGGGGAGGAGATGGAACCTACCCATATCATTGAGGCAGATAGCCACCTTGGTGTAGCCCTCGTCAAAAGCGGAGATGGTGAGAGCCATAAGGATCTTGGGGGCGTAGGAGAGGTAGAAGGTGTACTGGTGCGCGGAGATGAAGGCGTCACACAGGTCCTGAGGATACAACACATTACTTAGCAACCAACTTATAAACAGCACACCAATTATAAGCTCTTTTGTGGTTAATAACTTGGATGCTCTTCTGTTTAAATGGATTTTTGTTTATAATGAATATTTTAGTTAAGGAAAAGTGTTTATGGATTTACAAGTTGTGTAAATGGTGTTGATTTTTGTAACTGGTCTTAAAGGCAAACTCTGAAAGGGTTTGATTCAGAATTCTCGGGTTAGAGCTAGAAACTTTTTATTATTCGAAGAGCGAATAATATATATATATATATATATATATATATATATATATATATATATATATATATATATATATATATATATATATAATAATACATACAGTCTTCCTGCCCCCCCCCCCCCCCAACAGAATGACTTAAATGTTTGTGGAAGGGAGAACAGAATGGGTATCGCTGACCCAAAGAGTTATAGAAAACTGACAATACTTGAAACGTGTTTAAGGGTAACTTGAGAATTGTTTGAAATATGCTGACGTTAGGCCTTATCATTCCCGGTGCCGGGAACAGGATGCCTGTACTTTAATTAATAGGCATTTCGAGGTCCCTCAAGATCAACTACTCACCTTTTCCAGGATGCAACCCACAACAGATGCCTAACTCCCAGGTAGCAATTTAATACTAGTTGAACCTACTAGGCGAATTCACATTAACCCAGGATCCTTAAATCTCAATCGAAGACGTAGACTACTGCACCACAGGACCCGCTGGTTGTATGGACTATACTGTACCATGTGGATACACCGTCCATATAGATGACGTAACGGGAACTGAACGATCAGTTCATTTATAGTAATTTTGTGCTGTATCCAGATGATGTAACACTTCACATGGCTATCTTGAGATGATTTCGGGACTTAGCGTCCCCGCGGCCCGGTCCTCGACCAGGCCTCCTTTTTGTTACACATCCCCCGTAACATCGTTACGCATCCCCCGGGGAAGCAGCCCGTAGCAGCTGTCTAACTCTCAAGTACCTATATACTGCTAGCGTGAACAGGAGCATCAGGGTGAAAGACACTTTGCGGATTTGTTTCCGCCTCCGCCGGGGATCGAACCTGGAACCTTAGGATTACGAATCCCGAGCGCTGTCCACTCAGCCGTCAGGCCCCTGACGCCTGTATGTAATGTGTCCATTACCCTTAGGTAAGGCCTAATATTTCACATGATTGTCAAGTTAATTTCTCTAAAAGTGTTCAGGTTCCCCAGCTTGGCTGGCTTAACGAGACGAGGCTGGCTATCAGAACCGAGTGTATTGATTGACTGATAAAGATTAAGCCACCCAAGAGGTGGCACGGGCATGAATAGCCCGTAAGTGGTACAATTTTTTTGTTCAGTAATTCTTTTCAGTGTTCTGAGGTCGCAGAGTGTATTGATTGTTGTTGTTGTTATAGATTCAGTTACTCGGAACAAGTTCCAAGTAGCACGGGCTATGGTGAGCCCGTAGTGGACTTACCTGGCACAGGAGCGGTGCTGTGAGTGTATTGATTATATGAAGGGTTTATATATGAGGGTCTGGAAGTACAGTCAGGTGCGTCCTCGACTCTCAATCGTTTCCTATCACCTAATGGCGATAGGAAATCGGCGCATATCCTATCACCTAATGCATCTGTTCCCCTAGCAGCAAACAGGTACCCTAGGAGTTGGCTTGTTGTGTGGTTGCATCTTCGGGGGGGCGGGGGAAGGGGGAGATAGTTATTCGATCTTAGGGGGAACTTCGATATAAGCCTAACATGTACTGTATATATAAACTGGCTGCCTGTCCCCGGACTGAATGAATTATTATTGTATTATGCACCTCATTCCCATGCCATGGGAGGTAGTGGATGGGAATGGGAGGGCCAGAAACCAGTCCATCCTCCTGAAGCGATAGTAATTACAGCAACAATTGGTCGAGCGAACAACAATGGACAATTCGACCCCCAAAAGTTAACGTTTTGTACTATTGGAATACTCCAAATTGGTCGCTGACAGGTGTACCAGTAGGTGCTGGGGCTGGGTGTAGAGCTCAACCTAACCTGGTCTACACCCAAATACACAACTTAAGGTCTAATGTACGGCATCTTAGGCCATATACAGTACATAAATGTACTATGCTAGGCTTAGAAAAGTTTAGGTGTAGTTGTTGCCTTTTGGTGTCCTCTGCAACACTAATAGTACAAAATATGAAGTGTTTGGTCCAACAGTTCATTCTTGTACGTTCAATCAACAGTTGCTATACGCTAAGTACCTTAATTTTTGGATGACTGGTTCCAAGAAACATGAATGATTTCTTCGAGGAAACCTCATCTTAATGGATATTGAAAAAGCCTGTTTCATAAGAGAAATCCAAACTTCCCAAAATATGGTTGAGTGGGAGCAGTCAGTTTGACACACTATGTATTTTAACACATGCAGGATGATATTAAGAAACAGGTGACCCGGAAACACACACCGAAACTACAACGTTAGTACAACGTTCGAACAAGTTTTAACACCTCCTAACCAGTTGTAACAACCAATATAGCAAGTTGTAACAACGTTCTAATACGTCATAAACACGTTAAGCCAAGATGTAACAACTTTATTACAAGTTGTAACAAGCGGAAAATAGGGACAGTTTCGGTTTGTGTTTCCAGGCGCGCCTTTACCCACCAAAAAGTTAATATTAAAGTAGTGTAATTTTAGAACTTTGATGAATGTGGAGGTATCTGACCTGGAGCTGGAGGAGGAGGAGCATGACGGCGAAGACGACGAGCAGGCAGCCCAGGATGAGGGGAAGGGTGACCAGGTAGCGGATGAGGTTCCGTCGCCAGGCCGGGTACTCGGGCTCCAGGCGGCCCGTCACGCTGCTCACCCGTAGCTCCCCCTGCCACACACAACACCAGTCACCACCACACTATTACCAACACAATACCACCATACCAACAACACCACACCGGTAGATAAACCATGTACACCAATACCTCGCTCAAGCCTGCCCCACTACCCCCTACGGCCGGGCTCGGGGAGTAGAACAACTCCTGAAACCCTCTCCAGGCATGTTCCAGGTATACACCACCAACCTCTCAACTATACACCATCAACCCCTCACCAACACACCACTCCCTCAGGCACTATCACCAACCCTTCACAACACCAACACAATAACACCAACCTCTCGCCAACACCACCACTAACACACCACACCAACACACCACACCACTAATCCTTCACCAAAACCATCTCAACACCATACCACATCACCACACCAGCCCTTCAACACCACAACACCGCCTCACCATAACTCCAGCACTTCTTACACCGAAGAGTATATTGAATTTGTATCTTAAAAAATGGTGATTTGCAAATTACGGTAAAATAGAAAGGTGCTAAATAAGTTTCCATGCTCTAACTACACTATATTGGCCTATTATCTTGTTGGGTTTAATTGAAAGCGTTTGGTAATGGATTTAAGTTACTAATTTCAAGAGGTCTGAGTCTTCTTCTGTCTATACTCTGAGGGGTCTGAGTCTCATGTGTAGGAGTACATTGTGATCATAGTTGGTGTGGCCAGCATGACACAAGCGGTGTGGACACCTGTCCTCAGGTGATGGCACATGTCAGGCACAGACACCAGACCATTCCCACTGCAGGGAGGAAGCTCCACCCACCAAAGAGCCCCGTTGGAACTTTACAGAATCTCTTAAGTTAAAGAGCGTATTCTTTAAGGAGAGTTTTAAGTACTGACGCCCTCGGTACTCTTACGATGCGTGTTGTACTTGATACAAGTTTTTTAGGAGGAACAAATAATGAACAAAGCATGGTAACCCCCCCCCCCCCCTCCCTAGGAGAGCCTTCTATAATCTATGTGAACAGGAATGCCCTCTACAGCCCTCTTATCTGGTAGAATTACAGTCCTTTGACTGGAAGTAATGTGCAAGATATTTAATTATTTACACTCGTAACTGGAATACAAAACTATATATATCTGCTAGTAAAGGTTCTACAAAGGCTTTATAAAGAAATGCTAGGTTGCCAATCCTCCAAGTGCTGTATACCTGTCAGTCAAGCACTGACTGACAGGTAATGTAACTCGACTGCTGCAGCCAGTCCCACTCTGCCAGCACAACTGTGACACTGAGGAAATAGTTGAGGACCTCGTGTCTAACAGTGTAAAGAACGTGATTTCAAATCATCATGAATGAGCATTACGATGAGATTCCATAACTCCGACCATCCTCGTGTATGAGAGGCAAGTAACATGTTTCCGACGTAAACAATAATTCCCCGTTATCAGATTGATTGATTGAAGAAGATTAAGCTACCCAAAAGGTGGCACGGGCATGAATAGCCCGTAAGTGGTGGCCCTTTGGAGCCATTAGCAGTATCATTAGCTGATACTGGAGATCTGTGGAGGTGCGACTGCACCCTGCGGAGAGGTCGTGACCTCTGCTCATTATCAGTGTGGGTAAAACTCTCTATCCTTACACAGATCTGTGTACACACAAAGGAACACACACACACACACTTGTCAATATACAAAGTCTAATATTAGTATTATATGCAATTGGTGACAACAAATAAATGATATGATTAATATTGTACTCGTTCGCCACACAACATATATGTACACGATTGCCTTATGAACCTCTGGAGGGTTATTAAGGCCTTGCGCTTATTGACCAACCAGCAAGTATACTTCAGTCCCGGACATAATTCAGGACTAAGGTAAACTCTCATTGTATATACAGCCAGAAGCTTGGTGCACCTCAGTGTACATATTCCCTGTACATAATTAAATGAACACGGTTAATATGTACATATTATTGCTTACTCTTTAAAAATGTTACGTTCACTAATACACAATGTTACAGGGGAGGAGCTACAGAGGTCTATGCTTCAGGTCATTAGACATAGTTAAGAGATTTATTACAAAGGGGAACATTAATCTAAAGAAGAAGAATATATATATATATATATATATATATATATATATATAATACACAAAATGTTTGTCATGCACATTATAAGTAAGCGTTTGTGTTAACTGTAGCTGGCGTGTGTTCAGATGTTGCGTTACCAAGACGGTGGTGGGGACTCTTGTGTCACATTACAAACATTGTAGAACTGAATTGTGGAGAAATGTAACATTGCAGAATAGTGACAATCACATATTGAACGCCAAGTGCCTCTACCTACTTACCCTCTAGAAACAATAATTTTTTTTTAAATCTTCATCATATTTAGGTACATTTGCATTTATGCTCTGACTATATGAAGTGTTGCACAGTGTGTGTCGAGGGCTAGCTACGTGATACTAAGAAATCCCCCATCTCACATGATAATCACTCAGGGATAAGCGATCAGTAGCCTGCGCCTGCCAGCCTCGAATACTATGTTTTTCTTTTTACCCATTAGTTTTAAGCTTTAGTCAGTAGTGTTTTTTCCTGCCCGAAACGCTTTGCGTAATAGTGGCTTTAGGCATTGTATGTACTAGCTCTATCTATAAAGCCAACAAACTTTGTAAAATCTCTTTATGTATGTACCTTTGCCTAAATAAAAATTATTATTATTATTATTATTATTATTATTATTATTATTATGTGAGGGTATCACACGAGGGTGACTAAAGTAATTACAAAGCTCCAGACATACCGGCATGTCTCAAGGGTCTAATAACGGGATATTCAATGAGGTGGTGCATAAAATCATGGCCGAATTCTTGTTCACAGTTTAACATGAATAAGAAACAACAAAAACGATGTATTTCAAATTGTTAGAGGTCGCTACAAAGGTTATTTAACATAGGCTCTACCGTTAACAGCACGCAGGCACTTCAGAACATGTTTTCAGGCCCTTAATCAATAGAACGTCACATTTTGACGTATACTCTAAATAAGGGCAAAAATCGTCGTACTAGAAAATGGTACCGACTCGCGAATTTAACATACTGTCTCGTTTTCTGCTTGGTGTCCTCTGGTAGATTAAGATAAGGACACTTTAGTATCGTTTTATCTCCTGACCCCGTACTGGTGTAAATTTAACGAGTTCTGTAATTTTCTTTTCACTTGAGAATGAACCATGGAGGTTCGAAACGTTGTGCAAATTGTATAAATAAGTGTAATACATTCTATAGTAATTCACTTTTTTCTTCACCTTAAAATAACGAACATGAGTTTTGGAGAAGTTCTCTTTCAGCTCAGCCCTGATGCTAGGAAAATAGTCAGAAGGATAGAAGCCCTAAATCAGAAGATAGTAAATACAGAATATGCGGTCATATTCAATGAGACATGTTTAAAAGAAGAAAAAAAAAGAAATATATATATATATATATATATATATATATATATATATATATATATATATATTATAATATGAATGAGGCAATACCGACTCTGGTTGCGTTTGTAGGACCCCTTAGCCTCGAAGAATACCATATGTAGAATCCGGGAAGCCTTGTGGGGCACCCTGCTTGATACCTGCTGGATGGGGTTCTGGGAATTCTTCTTCTACTCAAGCCCGGCCTTGTCTTGTGAGAGCTTGGTCCAACAGGTTTGGAGTGGCTCGCAGGCCCACATCCACCACAGCCTGGTTGGTCCCACACTTCTTGGTGAAAATGATCTAGTTTTCTCTTAAAAATGTCCACGGTTTTTCCAGCAGTATTTCTTATACTGGTTGGTTCAGGCAGCTCGTACTCTCGCAGGCACCCGCGTACACTCACATATTGTCTTCTACCACCCTTATATATATTGTGTGTTTTGTCATTTTATTTTATTTAAAACTTCATTACATAAAATGGGTTACAACATTGGTTACATGCAAGGTACACGGCTAGTTGTCACAGGTTGTCGAGTTCTTTCAGCTTTTCAGATGGCGGGCAAGAACTATGGATGCAGTCTGCGTTTCTTCTCTATTTCGCCACTCTAAGGCGCTAAAAAAGGAAGCTGGCGGCTCTAGTGGTCTCTTGCTTTAATTAGCTTAGAACCCAGCTCCTTCAAAAAACTAGCGGCACGTTTACCCCTGGCGCTAAGTTCCTCTGAGGCAATGGGGACAAAATTGTAGGTGTGATCCAGACTTCTATTTACGAGACTTGGCTGCTTCCCGGTGAGTGGCAGCGCCGCCCAGATGTGCGACACTGAAGTCAACATAGGCGTTGGCTAAAGTTGAATTGAGAAAATGCCAATTTTGAATACACCGTACTTGAAAACGGATGTGTGTTTAGGGTCAGCCACAGCTTGGACAAGTATTGCCTGAGAACGGGTTGAATTACAAATAATTACCAACAGAACCAAAACGCACAACCTAATATATTCTAAGTCAAACAATACACAAAATAATAATTTACAATCTAAAAAATAAATATCCTTTTGTTGCACAATACGATAAAATTGACGAATATGGCTGCAGCTCGAAGCACTACGTTACAAAACAAAGCCTCAATATCTAAAACTAATCTACAATATCCTACGTTATTACAGTTAATGAACAAATTAGCCTACATATTTAAAACCATGCAAAAGGGAAAGATCTACATCGCCACTTTAAAGTTTTAAAATCTTGGCTGCAGCCAAAGTCTCTACGCTAGTTAACCAACTACAGGATCATGCCCAAAGAGGAAGAGCGCAGGTGGAGCCCAGCCTCTAACCAGCCCAGTCCAGCCCGTGGTTCACCTGCCATACTCACCGTTGTCACCTAGGACCCAGTGAGCACATGAGAAGTGTCAGTGTCAGCTACATGGGTTAGAGTTGTAAAGCATTATAAAGAAGGCTTAAGTTTGCTGGTTTACTTAAAATACGGTCAAGGATTTTTTTTAAGGTATGGTGTACATCAGCCGTAGCCTGATAATGGAAAGACAAGTAAGATTATGTAAAGAACCACTCAACGTTT